AGAGAGAGAGAGAGAGAGAGAGAGAGAGAGAGAGAGAGAGAGAGAGAGAGAGAGAACATTGGTTCCAGCTTGTGTTTATCTTCTTCTTGTTCTTCTTCTTCTTTCATTCTTTCATTCTTTATTCTTCTTCCTTCCTGGTCTTATCCGGTCTTCCAATCTCTTTCAGTTGAGTTGCAATTGAATGGCAATGTCTCTCTGGGAGTTTCTTTGCATTGGGAGATGGCCAAGATCATAATACTGTAATCGTAAAATGACCTCATGGGGCCATACAAAATAACCATGTACAGTAGCGGATGTCCTTCGGGAAAGATGCAGAGAAGGTTAGCATGGCCGCTGTACAAGCATGACACGCCAGAAATATTCCAAGTTCAAAAAAAAAAAAAACGGCCACCAAGCTGACCCAACGGAACCGAACCAATGGAGCTGTGGTCAGAGCGCCATGAGTACAGTGGTGGATATCCTGCTACATCGGTGTCTGTGTGTGTGATGACAACCTTGCCTTCTCTATCACCCAATTTCATCGATGACGACCATCAGGAAACTTCTCTTTGAGCTAATAGACAGATATAGATGAAAAATCGCAGGTGCCGCAGAACCACAATGAACAACCAAACAAATTATTATTCAAAGGAGCGTTGTACCAGTGGCCAATGCCAGCTGGGCACTGACATTGGGTTTGCCGACCTTGTTACCCTCGTCCTGCTCTTTACCTTGGTCTCACTTTGCAGGAAAAAAAAAACACAATGGTGGGGGCCAAGCCTTGATATCTTTATGCTGTATTTTAGCACCAGGGCGTGAACTTGTGGTGACTTTTTGATGTACAGTTATGGGTGCATACTACTGCATAGCCAGCGATCATTTGATTGGTTAGCCCAGCCAAATCGGCCTGAAGCTTCTATCTAATAGATGATGAATCAATTCGCGTTAGAAGGCCATGTACACGTATTTGCCGTATTCTGAGTGGGATTACCTCACGGGCCGGCTACGATGTCAATCAGGGTACAGCTTGCTTTTCAGAGGCACTCTGGCCACGCGATACAAAAGATTAGTCAATTGATCGATTAGCACAGCTAAATCAGCAGAAGCTTCGATCAATAGACGATAAATCAATTCGCATTAGAAGGCCATGTACACGTATTCACCGTATTCTGAGTGGGATTACCTCACAGACCGGCTACAATGTCAATCAGAGTACAACTTCCTTTTCAGAGCCTCTCTGGCCACCAGATACAAACGATATCCATTTCTGGCAGTGAAAACATGAGCTACTGTTCGTCTTTTTCTCACCATATCACTTCCTCTTTCTCCCAATTCTCCACGGTATCGACGGGAGCCTCAGAGTGGTACCCTTCTGCTTACCATAATCCCGATCTGCCAAGTGGCCACCCCTTGTCAAGTGGTGAATCTCGAGGGTGCAGGAGGCTCTCAAGCAGAAATTGCACAGCGATCCATGGATCAGTGTCAGCAAGAGCGTCCGTTCGTCTCCATCAGTCTGCAGCATTAGATTCGCTTGGGCCCACCAAGAATGGATTTTGGCAGGCTGCCACAGCCATCCATTCCGATGCAATTGGACATGGCTGCTCTTCGGGGCTCTCGACCGCTTCTGTAATTTTGTCGGTTGGAGATGACACTCAAGGCAGGTGCCCATTGAGGGACATGTGCAGGGTGCTGCCGTCAGATGGGCTTAGAAGACGACAGGCGCAGAAGGGAACCTCCTCAAAGAAGGCCTCAAGGAGCAGGAAGGCGGTAAACTCAGAGCGTCATCGTGATCATCTGCGTGGTCTGCGTATTGAAGCAAGAGATTCAACAGCATATCCTTCTGCGTCGCCATCCTCTACTCCTGTGGGAGTGAGCATTGACAATGCAGGAGGTGGTGCTGGCACTCAGGCAGTTGTAAATGGAGGAGAAGTAGGTGTTCCTCCCCTTCCCACACGAGGAGGAGGAGGAGGGGGAGGAGGAGGAGGAGGAGGAGGAGCTTCGGGTTGTGTCAGAATGCTCCCTCATAACGACTTGACGTTGACTGCATCCCTGTATGAAGTGCGTAGAGGTGACTCCCTCTACTCCATCGCTCTGCAGCATGGAATAACAATGACCGCTCTCGCCAAAGCCAATGGGTACAAGCTTGCAAGAGGGGTGCCTATCAGCGTTGGTGAGGTACTGAAGATACCACAGGGTGGTTTACCACTCACTCCACCAAATCCTCCCTGCCGAAATCTTCAGCTTCAGAATGAAAGAATGCGTGATGCTGGTGGTGGTGGAGTGAGGGCGGCTGGGAAGCTGGAGAAGAACGCGGAGAAGCTTTCATCCAATGCAGAGAGGCCAGAGAACACTGATCGTGTCTATGTCGTGCAGCATGGGGATACCCTGACATCCATTGCAGAGAGGTATGGGATGAGTGTCGAAGCTTTGATGTCAAAAGCCAGGATCCAGCGGCGTGCAGGAGGTGCTGGCAGTCGCGGGTGGGATGTAGGGGGTGCGTACAGCAGCAGTGACGCTGTTGTTTCTGCTGGTGGTGGTGACGGTGATGGTGATTCTCAACATCCAATACCATCTCACAGATCGTCCAGCAGGCGCTCACTGGTTGGAGACCCTAGCGCGGCCATTGTGTCCGGAGCAGCTATCATATCCGGCGAGAATGTGCAGGAAGTCAGTGATGAGTCGGCACGAGAAGATGTCAGGGACAGCAGCGATGTCTCTGCAATGGCTGATGGAGCGCCTTCTGGTGATAGAGCGTCAGTAGAGAGCGAGGAGAGAGTTCTGAAGAGACGCTCCCGATTCGTTTCTGCCGATACTCGGCGCCATGTGGGCAGCTCTTCCGCGTCCTCGAGGACAATGCTCACTCCCTCCTCCTCTGCCACTGCTAATTTATCATCCATTCCTACACTTGCAGGGATGGCAGCAGCTGTTATCTTCCTGGCAGTGGTGATCTTTCAGTACCGACCGACTAGGAAAACAAACAGTAAGTCGTCAACAGCTCATCGGGTGGGAAATCAGGTACAAAAATACGGTAGTTATGCATCATCAGGAACTCAAGACAAGGGGGGGGTGAGTACCGTGAAACCTGACGAGGTGTTTCCACTGGAAGTGCAGGGTGGAGTGGATGGGGGAAGCATCGGCCGCCGAGCAATTGAAACAGAACGCCGTCCTGCGGCGAAGCCCAGCAATCCATGGTTACAGAGAGTGGCCATGAGGACAATGGCAAGAGCACGGGAGGCAGCAGCGCGGGCATCAGCACAGGCAGCAGAGGATAAGGTGAAGAGGGTGCGAGAGGCCGAAGAAATTGCACGTGCAGTACAGCTTGCTGCAGAGGAGGCTGCAAGAAGAGCAGACGAGAGAGCAGAAGGCAGTAGGAAATCTCTCCATGCTGATGAGCGGGAGTTACTTGTGGATCACAGCAAACGCGGGGACCCAGATGAAGGGTCGTGAGTGAGATAGTGTAGTTAGAAAGTGCTTCCTCTACCTTAATCGCCATGAGAGCTTAAACTGCATCTCAAAGGTGGAACAGACTGGAAGTGATGCAAGACAGTGTTTTCTATATTTGTCACCGCAGATCAGTGATGGCTCGCTGCTTTTTGTGTGTGAGTTAATGCTCCTACGTG